GGCTAACGGCACAGTCTCTGCTACACCGTAAACATCTGCCAAATGTGGAACAATTTTCACTACCTCGCTCCCAGAACCGACTCCATATGGGATTGCACTATTGTGAGGTGAACTATTGAGCTGCATCTATGTTTTCAAACTACTCACAGTTTCCCCCTAGTTTTATCTGCTTTTTGCCTTAAATGAAATGCTTAAGAAGTGGAAGACTGAGTAACACAAATACAGACAGAGCATGAGAACTACTGAGAGACCCCCTTTTTTTGACAGGGGGTTGTGTGTCTCGCTGAACAGGATTTGTCACGAGGCTTTAAGAAAGATTTCAAGTGGGTAAATATGGCAGTTTTGACAGAGAAAGAAGGAAATGGTGGTCACTTAAGACACATCATAAAGAACCGGGGGGAGGAAAAAAAAAATCCAATAAGCGGCAGCGATGTGATGGGTTTATTTCACTGCAAAGGACTGTGCATCTGTGTGTTCCTGATGTTTTAATAGAGCCAGGCTACACCATTCACCTAGGTTGGAATTAGCAAATGAATGAAAAATTCACAGTGGAGGAAGGAAGGTGTGACAAATTCATTGAAGCTGCGTTTGAAATGCTGCTGCGTTAAGCGACCAAAAAAAAAAAAAAACCTGCCTGTGTTGAAAGTAGGAAATAAGGAGGCAGACTTGACATTTTTTTCTCATGGTTGAGCATGCTCTTTTTGTCAAGTTAAATCTAAAAGTTTTACCTCAATGAGTGAAAATTGCATAGATTACAGCGTCTGCCCACCACCTTATTGGTACTGTATGTCACTGTAACTATACTGTACGTACAGTATGACATCTGTAACCTCGATCTATAAGGACAGCCAACACAAAGCTATGGTAATCTATTAGTCCATAGCTGCGCGCGCACACACACACACACACAATCAGTAAGGTTGTGGAAACCCCTGTCACAGTAGCAGGCCTCTCGGGAAAGTAAACCCAACCGGGTCCAATATTCTTTTCAAAGCCTTTTATCGAGCAGTTTACAAGTTATGAATGAATATGTTTTATTTGGGCAAACACGGTATTGACAGCCACCTATCAATAGTAATGTGACTATTGTCAAGGGTCTGTCAATATTAATGTAATTATGATGTAGAGGGATCAGAGGGATGCTGGAGTCGGGGGCCAAGTAACATCTCCTGCCCACTGCCATATCAATAGCTGGGATTGCTATTGACAGCTTCCCTTCAGACTTGCAGCACTTGGCAAATATATAACAAGCAGACACTTCAGTCAATGCTGAGCTGCCTATAAAAATTAAGCATTTGAATTTACAGGGCTTTTACTGTGGACAGCTGAAAATCCATGTTTCTTATGTAATAGTCAAAAGTCACAGTCAATCCCAATGTTTACAGAATACTGACACCGTGTGAGCCAATAAGTACGTACTGCATTTGTACACAAAACATATACAGCAACACAGCAGCAATGAGTTTCATCTGCTGTACCTGCTCACACGTGCACACAACCTGCATGCAAAATGTGAGAAACTAACAATCCTTTCGTGGGTCACTCAACTGCCTGATGGAGAGATCTCACTTTGTGGGTCTGGAAACTAAGACCAAGGGGCAGGTTCCAAGAATTCAGTGATTTTCTATTTCAACAGAACAGTCTGTTTTGTTTCTTTTACACAAGAAAGATAAAAAAAAAAAAAAAATTTGAAGGCTTTCTGTGGAATATTAGGAAGAATTGTAATGCAGGTCAGATGAGTGTTTTCTTCCCTTGTTATCTTAGTCTGTGCATCTTGTACAGACAAAGGAGAGTGCACTGACTCAAGGCTGAGCGCCACAGTTCGCAGACTAAAACAGCAGCAGCAACAACAACAGTAACAATAGCCAGTCTAACAGGGAACACGGTGTAACATTGCTTCAAGGCAAATGGGGGCCATGACCGGTGTGACAAAGGGGAGATGAGGCAACAAAATCGTGCAGAGCCTCAGACTGAAGCCTGGCTATGAATAGTAGACAACGGATTTGAAATGACTGCTACGCATCAAAAAGACAGTTGGACAGAGGAGGCAGAAAAAGAAGAGCGATGCGTCAGACAAGACGTCATGATTAAACCCCCAGCTGGGAACTCTGAGCTACTGTCTACTGATACAGTGGGGAAGAAAAGAAACTGGCTGCAAAGATAGCTACAAAGGAAAAATGAGGGAAGGGGAAAAACAGATAAGCACAAACCTCTCCCTTGGAGCTGACCTTCAGACAGACGGTCACAATAAAGGAGGAGGCAACATTCCCAGAGCATGCATGTCTCAGCCTTACTGAGGTGCAGGTATCCAGGGAATAGTCCATAGACAGAGCAGGCACTGCACTTTTTTTTCTCCTTTGACCTTGTATTTGGTGTCTAGGGATGAGATGAGGGCATTTAGGGAAGAAGAATAAAGACTGGGGCATAGCAGGAAGCTAAGGAATCGCACAGGGAATACGTTTAGCTTTTCCTGCAGTGGACATTTGCTCCTAGGTTGTTGATGAGGTTCTCTTTTATTCCATTTAGAAATCCTTGAGCCCAAAAGGTCTCGATTTAGTGTGTGTGGTAATGTTCAAATTCCTAAGCACTTAGCTACAGTTGTTAGCATAATAGAAAGAAAGGCTTTACTTGGCTTTCGATGAAGCTCGTAGCCAGAAATAGGCTGTGCAATGGGGAAGCATGCTGAATTACAACGTTACATTTTCTGCTCTCGCTCATGTAAATTAATTTGTGTAAAAGCTGCAGTGGATAAAGCCTATTTCCCTGAGCAGTCCAGTCTCATTTTTCCCTCATTCCCCGCCCCCTCACTTTATTGCCCTTCTTTCGCCTGGAACGAGTGCGAGCCTATTAGCCAAGGCCTGCTAATGTCCTCACTATGAAAACGGATGGGAATGTCAGATTCTGAACTTTTAAGACAGTGATGTCATACAGCAGACCACAGGCATTATGGGGACACTAAGATTACCAAGGCGGTAACCAGACTAATTGTTACGAGTCTGTTTCATGAAAAATGAATGTGCGCAAATGCACAAAGGGGTCTTCATGCTGTATGTGTGTGTGTCACACACTAATGCATTATCAAGCTCTCCTCTCTCTAATCACCACAGAATCCGCAAAGCCAAGGGGTAAGGGCCAACTTAATACACATAGAAATACACATCAGTAAGAACAGCACATCTGACACACAAAAAAATGCGCTTAACTTAATATGTCTTGCTCAGGAGGTAAATTATTTAAGGGAATTAATTGATTTCGTGAGTATGAAGGTTGAGTATGCTAAAGCTGTGTGAGTAATAAGTACAAGAGTTTGCAGAAAAACAACTTTAAAAGTCATGAAACATTTAGAGGGCAGGGAGGCACAATGAATGTAGAAGAAAGGCGGAACTAATAAATGAGAGAAGTGAAGTCGTGCCTTTCTTAAGAGTCAATGAAAAGAAGTGGGGGGCTCACCTTGTACAAATAAAATGTCTTATCCAGAGGAATATTTGATCAGCACATTTCCCAGCTTATTTTTATGCATGAATAAATAGTGTTAACTAGTAAGTGTGCCTGTCTTTTTTCCCTGTAGCAGCAATTAAAAAGTGTATGGAGAGGTGGAAGCTTCTGTGTTTTATTTTTTGTTAAGTGATTGTCAAGGCCAAGTTAGTCTGACAGAATTAAGAAATTACTGCATCACTGAAAATACAACTTGTGCTTTCAGATATTTCTAAACCAGTAGCTATGGCTACAGTGCATTTTACATTAGAAAAGTGTATTGTATATTTGTTACAATTATGGGGAAAAAACACAACCACTCACTGTGACTGTAGATAGAATTTTTTCTAAGTTTACTGATAACTCCCCTCATCCCCCCCATCGCCACCTCAGTGGTCTTCACGTGGGTGCTGTGCAACATGACCTTCTGGCCCCAGAGTGAGATCATAGTCCAATTTAATTTCATTGACTCCCTCAAAAACACCCTCATTACACTAAGTGTTTAGTTCCAGAGGCAACTACACAATTATTTTAGCTCGTGTCTACTGGTCTTTAGCAACAACCAAACCTAAATCGGCTACATTTTGATAATAAGGCAAAAGCATTCTGCGATAATCACAGCAGCGATTAGGTGTTGGTAGCGTTCATGAGGGCCATGCCGTCAATGCCACTAGAAAAGAGAGACATAACCATGAGACTGATAAGAGAGGAGGATACGGAGGGGAGGCGGGGGTGGGGGGGCAGGAGATGTAATGATTAGGACCAAATGAACTCGCGTGGAAATCAATAAGATCAACTTTGAATCTCGGTGTGAAAGGTTTTGATCTCTGACAGGAATTATTACAGAATTATTACATGCAATTCTGTGCACAGCTGTTGAACACAGTCGTGGCTGCTAGAGAATAGACTCGTTACAACTGACAACATACCACGCGGAGTTAAACACGCACGTTCATAAAAACAGCGACTATGCCTTCGTATCGACGATATAAAAAGAAACCGTGTGAAAACTACGGAGTATCTGTCAGTTATTCTGATGCGAACGATGCGAACGTTTCGTTTTAAATCTCCTATCGAAAACTAAAAAAGAACTATATACTTCTATGCTTCGTCAGTCGTGCGACAGTCAAGCATATATATATATTTACCCATTTCTCTTCGATTCTCCCTGAATAAAACGTAAACAAACAATACTTCCGGGTTAAAAAATAGTCACCTCCTTCCTACAGTGTAAACCAATAATGCACTGGGACGTCAGCAATACGAAGGCAGGATTGAGGGTTAGCCAATTGGATCACGTAGCGCATTCGCAGCGGCAAAGCGCATTGAAAATGATTGAATGGCGTGTTTCGTTGTAGTAACGGGACATAGCGACCCAATTGTGCGTTAATTTATACAAAACAACACGGATAACGTCTTTTATGCAGATGGAATGCAGACGTTTAGCCTGCATTGCAACAACAATGCAAACTAAACAGAATGTTGGTTTGAAGTGTGACTGATCATGTATACTCTCTCTCCTGCAGGACAGGTGTTCGCTTCATTCGCAGCACACGTGTTACACATTAACAATACTGAAAACCTGTGTGCACGTATGAAGCAGTAGAAAACGTCAAGTGAGCCAGGGAGAAAGAACATGTTTGAACAAATGGGACATTCTGTAACCCGGGATGCAGACTTGACCTCCCAAAAGCATGCAACCGAGACAAAGACCATGAAACAGCTTTTGGACGAGGTCAAAGATCTTCATGAGCAGAGGCTGAGGTGGCTGGAGATGGACAGCACCGCTACAAGAGAGGAACTGCTGCAGGTTAGTTAAAAATGAACCAAGTGTTTAATACAAGTAGCTTTGCTAATTTGTTTGCAGTTATAGGGCAAATGCCTGAGTCATTAAAAGTATTTGTTAGATCAGTAACATCTTTGACATATTATTAGATTCAGGTAATTGGGCAGAAACTTATTTATTTATTTTTTTACAATTATGGGTTGAGTTCTTCCCTTTCCTTGCTATAATTATTAACAATAATTATTATACACATTGAATGTTGTATGGATTAACATTACTGTTCTGTGGATTATTTTAACTACAGCACTCATAACTTAAAATATTTAGAAAATGCTTATTCTGTTTAAGTTGTTCAGAACTTAAAAAACTTTGACTGCTCAATTTATCTTTTACCAAGTGGGATTGTAAATCTAAATTATGCTTCTGTTTCTGTTGTATGTGTTGTCATTTTTTCTAAGGTAATGTGTTAATATGTACAGAATTTACAGAAAGAAAAAAGACTTAAAATAACTGACCTTATGAACAAAACCAGAACTTAAGAGGCCTCAGTTTTATGTCTATATTTTGACTATTGACGATTACACAAGCAATGATTATTTGAAGTCAGTGTCACATTTTTTCATTTTGTTTTTTTTTTACTAGACTGCTGCTGTTGTCTTAGGTTATTGGAGGATTGTCACACCCTCTTGGTTTTTGATTGTTTTTACCTGGTTGTTACAGTAAAACTAATTTCAGCATTTCTGCTATTAGCTATAACTTGTAAAACACTTCAACTAACAGATTAAAGGGCTAATACTCTGAACATTTAAAAAC